CCCCAAAACCCCAAAACCCCAAAACCCCTTAAAGTATAATCTTTATTGAAAATGGGTGCTGAAGGTAAGAATTTGCTGTCAAGCAAATTGAGAACCTAACACAGTTCACATAGAATCAAAGCCACAAAGAAAAATAAGCATGGATAATTCAAGAATAGTGCGAGACTTGTCCAATGTATCAGACGATTCTAGGTAATTAAGCTATTAAGCTTTAGCCTATGTGACCTGAGCTCAGAAAATTCATACCATAAGAATGCAACGGTAGGATTAATTTGACTTAAATAAAATACTTTCAGAATTATGAAACCAAAAGACCTACTACCAGTGAAGATGATCTCACTGAAAACTCAGATTTAAGCTATGAGCTTGAAAGAAAAGGTATCTTCAATAAAATAACTGCTAAAATAGCTAATATTCAAGTCCAGAATAGAAGCAGACAACTGTAAGACCTCTACTTCAGAGTATTTAGAAAAAGATCTAAACGTAGCACTTCAAATAACTATTTTAAAAACTTATTGAGCATAAACCATAAGTCTGCATTTGTTATCCAGAATGCTTACAGACGCTATTGTATCAGGAAAGCCAAGATTGATACTAAAAAGGTTTGTTTTAAAGTTACCCTATAAATAGGACAAGGATGGTATCATTCTACTATTCGGTGCTTCTATTAACTCAACGATCACGTAAGTCCTTCCAGTCATCTGAGTAGATCAACTTCGGATTTTAACCAATGAAAACAAATGTTAGAACTGTCAGATCTCCCTCTTGAGATAAAGGACTTAGGGATTAATTCAGGCTATCTTCATGAAGCTGAGCAATACGGGAGATCCCAAGACCTCCCATTTGTTATTATCAATGGAATCAACATTGGAGGGTTACACGAATTGATCAATATTGTTGATCTCAAAGTAAGACAGAGCTGTTAATAAATAGATTCTCAGAGCTATTTTCAATAAAGAATATATTAACCGTTGCTTGTTATGAAATGCTACAAGGATTAATGAATCAGCAGATTACTGAAGTAACTGCTTCAAAGAGCTCCTATGGTTCGCAAAAGCTCCTTACAAAGCTACTGAAATCATCGGCAAAGCTCCAAAGCCTCCATCTGAAAACGAATCTGATCTTGGCGACTACAAAGAAAATGATTTCTTAAGTTTTTACGAAGATAGTAATAAATTGAACAAGACCGAAATCATCACCAAGAAGCCTTCAAACAACAAAGCTCTCGCGAATATTGAGAACAATGACATGGTTATTGGAGGTAATCTCCTTTCAGAATTCATGAACGCAGATCATAGCTTTGATTCAGGAACAGAGTAAGTAACTCACTCATTCTCTAGTGAAACCTCAAGCGTCGCATAAGCAATTAACAGATATATTTTCTATATGAAGTACAAGATTAGGGGTTTTGGGGTTTTGGGGTTTTGGGGTTTTGGGG